GTGCTCCTGCACTCTGTGCTCCTGCACTCTGAAGATGCCGGTCACAGGTGCTGGCGAAACGTTAGGAAACAGAACTTCAAGAACACAGCCACACAGCCCGGAAGACCCACACCAGCCATCTTTCTCCCAAACTATTTCATTGTTGGCACTCATTCCGGTTTGGTGCTAGTAGAAAGAGGTCAAGAGGAATGCCAATTGGCGGGGCCTAGAAGTTGTGCTTTTTCTGCCGTAGTGCCCGCCGTGTGGAACGTTCTCCCTCTGGAGATCAGGACGGCCCCCACCCTGCTGGCTTTTTGGAAGGTGTTGAAGAGTGTTGTGCAGGGACCCGTTTTGTGGTTAATTTAGTCATTAGGATGGGGGCTTTATTGCCAGCTGCTATGTATTTTAATGTTTGTATTATTTTAATTGTTTTTATTTGTTAAATGTTGTTCGCCACCCAGAGTCACTTGGTGAGATGGGCGGCCATACAAAATAAATAAATATACATTCATACATACATACATACCTACTCCGGCTCTGAGGACAATGTGAAGGAGTTTGGGGGCATCTTTCCTGATCTCCCTTCTCCCCACCGCTCTGTTCCCTGCCTCATCCCAGTTCAAATTCTCCATCAGTATACTCCAGTTTTTTTCAACCTTGGCAGCCTGAAGATGTGTGGACTTCAGTTCCCAGAATTCCCAGGCCAGCATGCTGAATTGAAGTCCACACATCTTTAAGCATGCTGGCTGGGGAATTTTGGGAGTTGAAGTCCACACATCTCAAAATTGCCAAGGTTGAAAAACACTGGTCTACCCATTCCATGCGTCAGATGAAGTGTGCTGCAGCTTATGAAACCTTCTGCCTTTCAATAAAAATTGTGAAACTGAAAAAGTGCTACCAGACTCCTCCTGATTTTTTGCTACTATAGATAACACTGCTGTCTTTCTGCATACGTGACCCTGGCTTCATGATACCTGACATCAGCTGGTGCCAGAGATCTCTGCCTCAGAGCATGGATATCCATTGAGCCCTGAGTTTACATAGTAACCCTGAAGCCAGACCCTCTGGATCACCAGCCCACCTGGTGGGGTTGTTCTAAGGTTTTAAAAAGTGGGGAGCAGAAGGCTAAGTGCAAACAGCCCCAAGCAGGTTGGAGAAAGGGTCAGAATAAAACAGTTTTGCCAATGTGGCTGGGATTCCTCGTCTCTAGAACTGTTTGCTTTCAGACAAATACATTCCTACAAAGGAAAAGTTGTTTCCTTACTTTTTCCAGTGTTTCAGTTCCCAGGTTTTGCAGTAGTGCTGAAGAAACATGTTGATGTGATCCCCAAGAATGGTGAGGTTCTTTCTGGTGCAGTTTAATCTCTTTTCCTTTGGGAAATCTTTCGGCAAATTCAGCTTCCGTAGGGACTTTTTAAATGGTCTCAAGAATTCCTTGCACTGGGGAAGAGAAGATACAGAGGAGTTGAGTTCAGCCTCTTTTTCTGGAAAAGTCAACATTTTAAATGCTAGTATTTTAAATGTATTTTGAATGCATTATTTTATTTTTTTAAATGCATTTAAAATGCATTATTTTTTAAAAATGCATTATTTTATTATTTCAAATGCATTTCAAATGCTTTAAATCTGAGCATTTTAGATGCTGATATTGAAACAATCTTCCACAAAATAAATGGGGTTTATTTATGTGAGCCTCATAAGATGTAAATCAGGAGTGCATCACATTTTTTCCAGGCAGTGAGTTGGTCTTTACGTGGCACGCTGCAAGACTGTACTCCAGAAGGAAGTGTGATCAGGAATATCTCAAATTGGACTTGATGTTCCATCACATCGGTGTTGACTTAGCAAGCACATAGACAGATCTTCTTAATGTACATTTGACTTTCAAATTTAATTCTTCATGAAGTTAATATTTTTCTCTTTCTGTCCTGTTAAAAATTACAATTTGGTGGCAACTTTAAGAGGGCAAGTTTAAAGCAGGTGGCAACACAAAAGCTGATCTTGAAAAAGCTAAGCCCATTGGACCTGGTTAGTACTTGGACAGAAGATGACCAGGAAACCTCCAGAGCTGTAGATTAAGAATTAAAAACAAAATTCTTGAAAAAAGCAGTGAGAAATAGTTTCTGCATTTTGCCAAGAAGATTACACGGACAGGTTCCAGGAGTCATACCTAGGTTTTTGGAAAAAATATACACCCAAAACACAAAGATGCTTTATGTTACACTAAACTGTCTGCAAAGATATAGAAATGGGGAAAATTCTGTACAAACACGTGCATATACTTTTATTATTTCTATGCTTTGGAGGTAAAAATGCTCATCCTGTTGTCCAAGTACTCATCCCCAGTCGAGGTAGCAATTTAAAATGTGAAACATCATACAATAATTATTTTATAAATAAGGGTCGAACAATGACAGCAGACAAATCCGGTTGTTAAAATAAAGCATTAGAGAAGAGTTATATTCTGTATGGAATAAATACTTTCTCCAGCTGATTAGAAAGTCCATCAGAGACAGCACATTTCTAATCTCCCAAGGCAAGGGGTTTACCACTTCAGGATGCAGCTTTCAAAAATAGAAATGTACAAAAGAATGCATCCCATTGTTTGTGAACATCAAAAGAAAACAAAAATGTAGAAACTGAATACTGGAAAAATGTAATACTGAAAAAAAATAGAACAGGATGAAAATGGGAAAGACAGATCCTTCTACCCTTATTTAGTGATACACTGCTCTTGAAAATGGAGGTTCAATTTAGTTCTCTTGTCTAACGGGAAGAGTTTCCACAGCTCTGGCTTGGTCCAGGAGGCAGAACTTTGGCAAGTGAAGTCAAGGGAGTGTGCGACAGAATAACTTAGGAACATGAAAGCATTAGTAACATGGATTTTTGAGACTTACTATTTTGAAGGTGTCCTGGGTGAGCCCGTCTGCGTAGTGGACGCGCATGTCTCCAGAAGGCACCATTCTGGCGAGAGCCCCTCTGGCAGTGGCCTCGTTCAACTGGCAGAGTGTAAGCGGGCTCTTGGTCACCTGCAATGGAGATTAACATCTGGATCTCTGCAAAGGAGAGCTTGTCTCTCCTGTATGGTGGGTGGAGGAAAGCAGAGGTGGGAAAGCTGGTTTACTGTGGGCGTGGCAACAAGATGCTGCCCACCTGAACATTCTGTCAGCTGACTTTGGGAGCCAATGGCAGACCACCAAGCCCTATAAAGCCCTAGCAGGACCAGTTCTTCAGTCTGTGGTCAAGACGTACCTCGGGGCACAATCTTCTTAGCTGCACCTCTCCTAGTCATTTCCCCACTAGCACCTTACCTGCTCTTCAGAAGTCTTCTAATCATCATTATGCCAGAGTAACAGTAACAGGGACAGTGGACAGGCACTACAACAGTGTTTCTCAACCTTGGCCAGTTGAAGATGTGTGGACTTCAACTGGCCGAGGTTGAGATGGCTGGCTGGGGAATTCTGGGAGTTGAAGTCCACACATCTTCAAGTGGCCAAAGTTGAGAGAAACTGTACTACAGTATTTTACTTTCCTGGCAGGGAGATGCTGAGGGATGCTATGAAGACTCTGTCAGCCACTAATGGAGAACGGGCCCGTTCCTTGCCTTTAATGGGTATCTTCCTCAAACGCTCCTCATTCTCCTTGGTTCTTGATTCATGTTTTGGATCAGGACTGTCCTGGTTCATCCATTTTTGCTTCATTGTTCATTTGGCCCATCGGTTTGTTTGGCCCAGCCCAGCACGACTGATCTGTCTCTAAGCTTCTCCAACAGGTTTTATGCTTAACACTAAGCCCAGATGTGGTTTATTTTGGTCTCAAACCCAACCCTTTAAACTCTGGTTTATGATTTAATGCAATGTGAAAACCTGGCATTTGTGGCTTATTCAACAAACAGAGGTTAAAAAAAGTGAGGATGTGCTTTTACAGCAAGCTCAGTAGATTACAAAATCTGGTTTCCAGACTTCCAAGGTGGGGTCCACTTCAGGCCTAAACAAATCTCACTCAAAGAGCTGAGCATGACTGGGGCAAAGAAAACCATGATGACACTCTTGTGCTCATTATACATTTTAGAGTATTCCCCACTGTGTGAATAAACAATGCCCTTCTCTAATTTAGGGTTTAATGTGTTGTTCTGAGAACTCAGACAGGGTGATTATAATTCTTATAATAATTTGGACTCTCTCCAGCCTCTTTTTGAGCTCTTCCTTTGCAGCAGACCAGAACCACTTTACAGTCTGTTTGGAATATTACATTTTCCTTTGGATGTTTTTTTCTTAACTAATTTGCAACCCATTGTATTACCATGATCTGGACAGCTTTATAATTATCTTTTCCCACATTCCCACTACTTTTTTTAACACCTCAAGTTAAAAAGAGGGACATTTTATGTTTTTAAAATAAAATTTGATTTTGTTTATCTCCTGTGAGATTGGTTTATTTCACAAGAGAGAAAGGAAGGGCTGTATCTGTGTGCATGTACACACACATACACATACGTTTTTCACAAAATTGTACCTATTACTCAGACCTGGCAGGCCTCACTGTTCTTCTTCTCTCTTTCTGCACTTTCTTCTCTCTTGGCTACACTCTTGATGAGCAAGATTTGACCCCTGTCTTCTCTATTTCCTAGGTGCTCCATTATGGGTAAGGAGGCCCAAGATGAAATGGGTTTATGCATCACTGCTTAGCCTGTGTGGGTGTGTGAGAGTAAACTTGCTTTTGTGACCTCACCTCTGAGGTGAAAAGGTTCCAAGTTCCTATCACAATCCAAGAACAGTCAGGTGCCTGGAAAAGGGAGAAGGTACCGAGAACAGAGACCTTGGCTATTTTTTTTTTAAGATGGGATATGATTCTGAATTTGGGAGACCTCAGTGCCCAGTGCTTTGGCTCACACGCTCCCTGCTAGGATATCCTTCATGGTTTTTACTGCTATCCTATATGAGGACTAAGATTTGTTATGATACTGTCCCTATTGTAGATTGCTTTTTTC